CTGGAGGTCTGGGTGTCCTCAGGTGGCTGGCTCATGGTGTGGCAGGTGCAGGGTGTGCTGGCACGGGTGCCGGCAGCCTTGCAACTGGCACAAACTGTGTAGCCAGCCCATGGTCCTTTAAGGGCTCCGGGGCTGGGAGGGGGGCAATAGAGTTTCCCTGGTGTTGGCCAGAGTGGCCACCAGGGAAATCTGGGAAGCATTAGCCTCCCACTAGTTCGAATTAAGGGTCTACACAGCCCTTAATTTGAACTAGCTAGTTTGAACTAGGCTTAATCCTCGTAAAATGAGGTTTACCTAGTTCGAACTAAGCGCTCCGTTAGTTCGAATTAAGTTCGAACTAACGGAGAGCTAGTGTAGCGCCTATGAAAGTTAGTTCAAACTAACGTCCGTTATTTTGAACTAACTTTGTAGTGTAGACATACCCTCAGAGAAATCAAATGGTTTCTTTCCACAGTGGATTCTCCTATGTGTAAGAAGATATGAGCGCCTACTGAAACATCCCAAAGTCAGGGTACCTGAAGGGTTTCTCTCCTGTGTGGATTCTTCTATGTGTAACAAGATGTGAGTTCCTCCTGAAGCTTCTCCCACAGTCAGAGCAAATGAAGGATTTCTCCCCTGTGTGCATTCTCCTATGTGCTGTAAGATGTGATTTCCAAATGAAGCTTTTCCCACAGTCAGAGCAGCTGAAGGGTTTTTCTCCTGTGTGCATTCTCCTATGTGCTGTAAGATGTGATTTCCAAATGAAGCTTTTCCCACAGTCAGAGCAAATGAAGGATTTCTCCCCTGTGTGCATTCTCCTATGTAGATTAAGATGTAATTTCCAAGTGAAGCTTTTCCCACAGTCAGAGCAGCTGAAGGGTTTCTCCCCTGTGCGGATTCCTCTGTGCCTAACAAGGTCTGATCTCTCCCTGAAGCTTTCCCCACAGCCAGAGGAGCTGAAACATGGCTCTGTTGTGTGGGTTCTCCGATGTCTAGAAAGATTTGATCTCCTACTAAAGCTTTTCCCACATTCAGAGCAATAAAAGGGTTTTTCCTCGGTGTGGACACTCTTATGTGTAATAAGAGTTGAGTTCCTACTGAAGGTCTTCCCACAGTCAGAGCAGCTGAAAGGTTTCTCTCCTGTGTGGATTCTTCCATGTTGATTAAGATGTGATTTCCAAAGGAAGCTTTTCCCGCAGTCAGAGCAGATGAAGGGTTTCTCTCTGTGGATTCTCTGATGTTCAACAAGAGTGGCATAGTCATTGTATGTGGAGGGGGCTTGTTCATGGGAGATTTTCTGTTGAATGGTTTCTATCTTTATCACTCCTCTGCTCCTGTGACGAGATTTACCCTGTCCCTTCTCTGGATGGTTTCCCTGCTGCCTGTCTAGGCTATGCTGACTCTTACAGATCTCTCCCTGCTCAGGTTTCTGGGAAACACGCCCTTCAGATCTTGCCAATAACATTACATGTGGAGTCATTTCCTCTAGTGCTTGCTGCTGAAGACTCTCCTCATTGTTCTCATTCAGCATCCCATCATCTGCTGGGACAGAGAGAGAATCCAGACAGGAGTCATTCCCTGTGCTGAGCTGAAAACAAAACTCGGAACAGGGAATAGAAAAGGGGGAACACGCCCAAATCATCCTAGAATGGTCAATAAGCATGAGCTGAGCCCATCCTCCTTTGCCATAACCCTTTCCCAAAGGAGAGAGCCCAACCTTTCCCTTCCCCCAGACTAGAGTGGAAGACAGGCTGAAGGGTCAAAGAGACCTGATGAAAATACACAACGGACACCTGCTATGAGGACACAGAAATTGGTTTCTGAGTCAGTTTAGCTGATTTCTCACCTGTGTGGGTGTCACTGATGATCTCCCCTTCTTCACAGCCCTGGAGATCAGGGATCTGCAGCTCCTCTCCTCGCTCCTCCCAAGAAATCACATGAGCTTCGGAGACTGGAAATCCTGCTTGAGGTGCAATTACACAAGAGTTGATCTTGTTCATTAAGATCTTTGCTATTACTGCTTCCAGCCCCAGGATCTGAGTCATCACCCAGAGAGGCTCCTTCCCCACCTTTCAGACTGGGCTCTGGGTGGTACAAGATCCCGGAAGTACAAGATCTCACCTGCAGTAAAGGTGCATCCTCCCCGCCTGAGGAATGGCCCAGCTGATTCCCTGGGGGAGATGACCGTTCTGCTGCACCCTTGAGGGCAGTGATTCTCAAAGTGTGGTCCATGGACCACTCGTGGTCTATGACCATCTTGCAGGTGGCCTGCAGGATTACAACTTGCCTCTGAGCCTTCAGGTGAATTCAGTACTAGCGCTATGGCTCTGAGCGCCCCCCTCCAAGGTTGACACACCAGCACCAGCTTCCCACTATGGGGGAGAGGGAAAGCCAGCCCTGTAGGCAGAATATGACTTACAGAAGCAACTGGCTCCATTACTCCCTCTCCCCCTGCCACTCCTCCCCCCCCCC